TGGCGGCCTACCTCCTCTTTTCTTCTGGCCTCACAAGGCAGCAGACAGCAGAGACAGACCGAAACGCCTAGGTGACTGCGATCATGGATCAAATTGAGAAGAAGGCTCGAACTCGTTCAGTTTCCCTAAATGAACCAAATAATTAGCGTGAGCTATCCCTGCATCCTAGCTAGGGGCTATCCAATGAAGTAGGTAGTCTCATGTAGTCTCTCAATTAAGGAGCTACTAGTAGCCTCCTTGCTAAGGGAGGCGGGCGGGGCCTCGGGCCAAAGCCGCGCAAAGCAAACCGAGCACCGTTGGACCAAGACGCTCTGCTTCGTTCTGCTTCGAGGTGGAAGCCATGCGACCTCAGAGGGAGCAGCTAAAGCGCTGCATTGAGGCGCTTGCTTTGACTTCTTTAGCGAAAAAAACATGTTCCTAGTAGTAGGGCCAGGAGTGCCCCTAGGAGCGTCCTTGCTCCTAGTAGCGATGCCCTTTGTTACTAGTAGCGTCCTTGAATCATTGCTTGGATAAAAACCATGGTTTCTCATGCTTCTCCTGCAAGGCTTGCCTCTGCGACGCGCTTGCGGGCCACTCTCTAGAGGCTGAGCTTAGTTTCAGGGACAGCATGTAGAATGCTTGGATTCATGAGCTTTGACGCTACGTTCCGGGCTCCTGGCATCGCTACTAGTAACAAGAAGCTACTAGGAACAAGTGCATCGCTAGTAGTAACGAGTGCCTTACTAGTAGTAACAAGAGGACGCCACGTTCGGGGCGACCGGGGCCTTACGAACGAAGCGATCGGGTTAGCGGCCTTCCATCGCGACTGCCAGGTGGTAGGCAGCACGGCCTGGGGTGGCGAAGTTCCGCAGTCTGATCTGGACCTGGTGCGGGGAAGCCACGAGTGCCACGAGTGAACGAAGCACGAGTGTTCGAGAATTCATGGGAAAAGTTGTATTTGGCAGTGGGAAGAGTTGCACGAGCTGAAGGACAGCTCTACAGGGTCCAAAGAACAAGGTAAGAAAGGACAGAATGCGGAAGATCTAAAGGTTGAAAGAAGGGAAGAAAGGAAGGAGGAAAGGAAGGAATGTTAAACAATGAGAGATTCAACAGCATTCTAGTAGTGGTAGCAGTACGGGGTACTTTGAAGGGGTTTGAAATGGTGGTCGTGTTAAATGTGAAGCATTCAACGCGTCAGTGCAGAATGTGAAGCATCGATGAATGACTACGAACGGAGCGAAATTGGACGCTACCTTCGGGGCTCCTGGCATCGCTACGAACGGAGCAAGAGGACGCTACTAGGAACAAAGGGCGTCCAAAAAAACCTTTGCTTTCAGTAACAAGCAGTCTTTCAAAGACAAAAAGCAAAGGAGGAGGAAAGAAAGGGGTTTTTGGGTTTGAAGAAAAACGAAAACACCATGTAAACATATGTAAACATTCTCTTAAGGTAACTAGTAGCATCCTTGCTCCTAGTGGTAAGGCCAGCCCCTAATAGAGTCCTTGCTAGTAGCGATGCCCTTTGCTCCCTTCGTAGCATCGTAGCGTCGCACGGGTTCCTTTGCCGCGCAGGTCCTTGTGACACCGTCGTCGAACTTGGACCCGCCACAGGCAGCTCTCCGAGGTTTCACCGATTTACGACGAGCGCCACTCCTTTTTGTTCCTAGTAGCGTCCTCTTGCTACAAGTAACAATGCCTTCTTACTTCGCCTAGTAGTGTCCTCTTGCTCCGTTCGTAGCGATGCCAGGAGCCCCTAGTAGCGTCCGATCGCTACTAGTAGTAAGGCCAGGAGCCCCTAGTAGCTTCTTGTTGTAGAAATGAATCCGAAAACCGCACACTCCTTTTTGTTTGGTAGCCTTGGCAGCCGGGTCTCCAGTATATTCAATTCAGCCAGAAAGGAAGGAAAGCTAGGAAGGAAAAAGAAAGGTCCGAAAGTTGTGCAAACGAAATCAAGACCGAGCTCTTTTGCGTTCTGGGTACTGTAATAGTTTCTTGAGAGTAGTTACCCCAGCTACTTGCTTAGCTACTTGAGCCTACTAGCGGCCTACCCCTCCCGGCCTGTCATATTTCTTGCCGGAGTTGAAGTAGTCGTAGCCTGTCGGACTTGGCCGTTTCTCTGAGGCGCTGGTGCTGCTTCAATCTTTGCTCACGAAGTTGGAAAGTCAGGCTGAGGCCGCATTTGATGCGGATGTTGAGACAAGGATGCTACTAGGAACTAAGGGCATCGTTACAAGAGGACGCTATTAGTAGCTCCTGGCGTTACTACTAGTAACAAGGACGCTATTAGGTGGAGGCCATCGCTACTAGCGTGGAGTTCAAAGAAAGAGACAAAAACAGGGAAGAAAGGTCCCCAGCAGATTGGCTTTATGTGAACCATTTGCAGTAGAGATCATAGTGCATGTCATTGACAAATTCCCCCGCAGCCCGCTTTTGGATTGAGAGGAAACAGTTCGTATGGTAGCGGAGCGAGGATAAGGGAAAACCCGTTTGAGCTCCAGAGAGAAGCCCCTAGGTCACTGCGATCCCGGGAGCGTCTGGGCCATAGATTTGGGGCCTTTGAGCCCAAACTGCTGACCTGTTGACAAACTGTTGTGAACTGCACTCTGTACACCGTACATTGTGTTAGTTGAGCAACATTGTCTTGGGACAATGGATGAGATAAGAGAGATCTTGGACATAGTGGCAAGAGTACGCAAGCAACAGCAACAGCAACAGCAGTAGAGGGAGTGAAGAAAGCGGCGGAAGACAAGAAGACAAACACAACGGGTTGGTCAGGCTGATCACGAAGCCTGGCTTACTTGAACATAAGCCGCTGGAGGAACATAAGTCACAGGAGGAAGAGATCAAAGAGTCCAGAGAATGGTCACGGGTATTTGAGAGGCACCTAGAGGCTTACATGCAGGATTTGAAAAAGATTCATGATAAGCCAAATGACAGCTTCGATATGGACTTGGCAGAAAAAGCAGAGAAGACAAGGTGTATCAAGCTGTATGGATTGCTAGCTTCGTTGATGAGGGGCAGGGCACTACAGTTGGTTAAAGCCGTGGAGGACTCCAGCAATACGTTTGATGCCTGGAGGAGTTTGAAAGCCTTGAAACCTACTTCAAAAGCAAGAGGATTAGCGCTTTTGAGAGCAGCCGCTACATGGCCAGCATTTTCTATGAACAGTGCCCTACAACTCAACTTCTCAAGCTGGCAGAGGTGTTTGAGGAGACGATACAGCGAGTCAAGAAGAGCTGACATCTGCAATTCTTTTGAGATGCGTGGATGGACAGCTCAACTCCTACTTGAACTTGACTAGTGGCGACAATGTTCAATACCCAACTTTGAGGGAGCAAGTGTTGCAATGGGACCGTTCTCAAAGGAAGTGGGCTACTTCAATAGTTGCAAGTAGCAGTGCAGATTGTCAAGGACCCATGCCTATGGACTCTGTCAAGATGCCAAAGGAAAGGGCAAGGTGAGAATGGTTACCAGAAGGGCAAAGGTAAGGATGCCAAAGGACAAGGAAAGAAAGGAAAAGGAGAACAACAGAAAGGAAAGGAAGGTGAGTTGGAAGCCCGGACACCTTGCTCGAGACTGTTGGAGAAACAGTACTCGAGTGACAGATCCCATTCATTTCCAGGAGAAGGTTCAGTGACTACACATACAGTTGGCCAACAACAGGCCAATGTGACTCAACAGAGCAGTTCAGCCGAGACGAAACCAGTTGCCAGAAGGATTGAGAACTGTGAGCCGACCATCTTCGACCTACGAGAGAAACCTTTGTCAAGAAAGGTATGACGTGGCATTTGCTGTCCAGGATTTGGCATCAAGAATGGCAAATCCAACAACTATGTCCTTCCACCACCTAAAGAAATTCCTAGGATACTTGAAGAGGCGGATGGACTATTCTCTAGTAGTTGAAATCCTGCAGGCTGGAGAGGGCTATGTGAAGAAAGGTGGACACTATACGTGGAAGGGAGAATAGAAGCGCAAAGAACATTCATCGCAGGCAAGGTGAATGAATTTGAAATTACAGTGATAGAGGTAGAATTCAGCGGAGAGGGACAATTCAGTGGACATAACATACTACTACAAGCAGCGAGTCAAGGGGCAGTTCTTTCAGATGGACCAGCATCAACATCATTCAGAAATGGAAATCCAGAATGCGCAAGCAGCATGGAGCATGAACAGGAACAGAGACAAGTGCTACGTGGTAGACTTGAAGGCAACATCAACAGATTGGGAAGACAACGCGAAGTACTAGTATACCGAGGACAATTTGATCAAGCAGACGTCGTTGATGCTGAGAGAGCGCAATTTCAATACATGCTAGACGAGGTAAATTCAAGATGAAAGACCTCAAGGGACGCTGTTTCTTAGAGTAGAGGTAGAGCAGCGGTGGAGTGAGCTAGCAGAGGAAAAGCAGCGCTCATTCCACCAAGAAGAGAGTGTGAACAATTTGCAGTACGAATCATAGTGCATGTCATCGACTTTTTCACCCGCAGCCCGCTTTTGAACTGAGAGGAAAAAGTTCGTACTTTATGAAGTTTTCTTCAAAGTCTAGGAACCAAATCATTAGTGCTGGAACACTACAGTAGTCCTTTATTTAAATAATTCGGGCCTGCTCAACTAGGTAGGGAGGGGGAGAGGCCTGAGAAACAGAAGTAGAAAAAACACATCAAGCAGAAGCAAGCAGTCGAAGGCTAGGCTGGAAGGTGGAAAAAAACAGTCGAAGTTTCAATCAGTCTTATCACAGGGAGAGCGTGCGTGGGCACGCTTGGAGCTGGTGGAAGCAAGGCACCTGCGCGCAGCGACACAGCGGGTGCAGAGGGTAGGGGCATGTGCTAGAAACTACTTCTTTAAATAACCTACTAGCGATGGCTTCCAACCTAATAGCAAAAAGAACCTGATACCATAAGGTTTACAATTATTTCATTTCTTTAAATGTTTTCAATCCTTTCTTCCTGTTTTTTCTTCAGACGTGAGGAGGTGCACTGCACGTTATTTCGGCAAAATCTGTGATGGTTTTGGTTCGAATTCAAAAGGTCTCACCTAGGCCGTGGTCTTGGAGTACCCCGACTACCCCGTCCATTTACAAGTAAGAAGGCTTGGAACACGGACCTGAAGGCAAAGCCTTGGGCGGAAGATGGGGATCTTTTTCAGCAAGGTCTGGGCCAGGTTGGCCTCTGGCAAAGAGAAGCGACTTCTGATGGTTGGCCTCGATGCCGCTGGTAAGACCACCATCTTGTACCGCTTAAGGTTGGCAGAGGCGGCCACCACTGTCCCAACCATTGGCTTCAACATGGAGACCGTGGAGTACAGGAACATCAAGTTTGATATTTGGGATGTCGGTGGACAAGACCAGATCCGGAAGCTTTGGCGACACTATTTCAAGGGCACTGATGGTCTGATTTACGTGGTCGACAGCGCTGATCGAGAACGTATCAATGATGCTAAGGAAGAGCTGGAGAAGATGCTGAAGGAAGTGCAGCTACAAGATGCAACTCTCTTGGTGCTCGCAAACAAACAAGACTTAAAGGATGCAATGCCCGCAGCTGAGATCATGCAGAAGCTTGACTTGCCCAGACTCGGAATGAATCGGACATGGTTCATTCAGTCCACAGTGGCCCCAACAGGAGAGATGGCGACGACAAAAGATGTTCCTAGTAGCGAACATTATTTGTTACTACTAGTAAGGCACTTGTTACTAGAAGCGATGCACTTGTTCCGAGTAGCGAACATTGTTACTACTTGTTTTCATTTTTTTTCTCTCCTCCCTTACTTAATTAAGTAGCAATGGCCTCCGGCCTCCAACCTAATAGCAATGGCCTCCAACTTCGATCTTTAATTTTGTTGAAATTATATTTAAACAAAATTGTTTGTTTGTTTTGGTCTTGGTCCCAACAGGAGATGGCCTCTACGAGGGTTTGGATTGGCTTTCTCGAAACATCTGAGGGAGCAGCCTTGCTGGGCCTTTGCAGCCTTGCGTTCTGCGAGGAGGGCCTGTTCAACGCCTCAAGACGCTCTTCCGTCGGCGTCCGTGTTCCGCCTGTACAGATGGGACACCGAAGTCCGAGCTTGGCCTCCACCCTACTAGCGATGGCTTCCAACAATAGCAAAAGGAACTCAATAGAGATGGCCTCCAACCTAAGTCCTGAATGTACAGATGGGACACCTTCGAAGTCCACAGGCAGGCGGCTGGGACGTTTCGAGATCTTATGCCGCGACTGAGTGACACAAAATGGCCAGGCTTGTGGCTTGAGCTTGTTTGCAATGCGTTCCTGGTCTTTGATTCTTTTTTCCGGGTCAGTGAAGGACGAAGTTGTAAGACACTATTGGAGAGTTATTGTTACTACTAGTAAGGCACTTGTTACTACTAGTATGGCACTTGTTTTTGCAATTAGCAGTTTTTGCAATGACTTGGAAAGAAGCGTATTCTAGCCTCCACGCTAGTAGCGATGGCCTCCCTAAGAGCGACAGTGACGTGTCAGGAAAGTCCCACTTCTTCGTCTCTACGATCGAGCTGGTTTATCTTGCGATGCTCAGAGCCCCAGAGCAAAGGCTCCTGGCCTTACTGCTAGGAACAAGGACGCTACTAGGAACAAGTGCATCGCTACTAGTAACAAGTGCCTTACTAGTAGTAACAAGAAGCTACTAGGAACAAGTGCATTACTACTAGGAACAAGAAGGCTACTAGGAGGAAAGGGCATCGCTACTAGGAACAAGAAGCAATAATCGGCTCCTGTCATCGCCACTAGGAGCAAAGAAGCTACTAGGCGAGCCCAGTCAGAGTCTGGGAGAGACGCTTCGAGCGCTGCCACCGGGTGATTTCCAAGTGCGTATCACTGAGGTGGTGGTTGATCAGCTTCATGCTCTTGAACATCGCAAGTTGCTTGTGGATGCCTTGGAAGGTGGAGCCCGGCATCGAAATTCTTTGGACGCAATGCTTTTCTTTTGGGACGAATCAGCTTCTGTGACCGAAGCTGTGGTGAAGTGTATGCAGTTCCGTCCTATTCTGATGTCTTTTCTATTTTTTGAAAAATCCTTTTCACTTCTTCTTGTTTTTTATTCTTTCTTTTGTGTTCTTTCTGTTTCAAGACTTCAACCTGCAGGCCGTCCAGAGGTGAAGCGCTTCATTCGGCTAGTGAAGTGCGGCGTGGTGCAAGGTGAAAGGTCGAGAATTTGAGGTCCAAACTAGACAAAATAAGCAAAAAAAGACATGAACAGGTCTAAAGAAACTAAAAAGAAGAACAGATCTCAAGTTGTATAAAGGTCAAAGGGTCTAAAATTCACAATTTACGCGTCGATCAGCCATATGGACCAGCCATATACTGCCTTCAGGCATCGTAAACGAAAGACTACTTCCACCTGTGGCCGGCCTTCGGGGCCATGGCTGAGAGAGCACTGATGGGGGCCAATAGCGAAAGCGAAGAGCAAAACGAAACTGTGGCTGTTTGGAACATGGTTCGGAGGTCCACAGTGAGGTCTTCGTGCACCACAGGGATGCCTATCTGCAGGGCAACTTCCTGCCAGCACGAAGAGCGCCGGCGTGGCTGTTGTGGATCATTTGGGCGTTGATCAAGCAGCGGACAAGACAGCTCGTCAGCAGGCAACCTCTCTGGTTCCGGTCCCCTTCAAATTGGCCCAGGGAGTTTTCCCAGTGTTTGCACGATGGTGGTCTTCAAGAAGAGCACTGATTGGCCCACAGCAGGAGTAAGACTGACATCCTGTGGATACAGGCAACCAATGCAAATGGATTACATGCAGTCCCTTACTACTGGGCCGGGTTTTTTTGTGCTGGAGGCTGCCAGGTTTCTGTTCCCAAAAGTGCACTTTGGACTTGTTGATGACGATTGTGTACCAGTCACCTTGTTTGAAGTGCAAGATCTCGTCGGCCATAAAGCTATGCGTAATGGTGGAAGCCAGGTCTGACCAATCTGGCGTATTTATTTTTGAGAACCTAAATACGGCAAAAATTCATTCTTTGTTATGCAATAAACGGTTAATGCAGCGGCGAATTACCTTAGAATACTTGGACCTTCAGAGCCCTATAGATTTGCACGCCCCGTCGTCACCTTATCGATCCGTCGTTTCGTGACTTTGGACCGTGGGCTTTAACTACAGGCACTCAAGTCCCCTTATCTAACTTTTCAGGATTTGGTTTCTCGGGAATAGTGCCGTCGGGGGGACGACTATAGCGTGCCATTGCAGAAGCAGGCAGAAGCGAAACGCACTGTTTCCCGTGAGTGCAATTGGGCCCCCTGTGAAACAACACCCTCCAATCCACACGGCTGGACAATGCGGCATACCTAAGAGCGCAATAGGGAGGGTTTCCCAACCTTGGTCAGCTAATCGGTCAAGTTGGAGCGGCGCATCCAGCTTCGCTTTGCCAAAGGCATGGAAAATGATTGGGCGCATTCGGTCCGGCGCTATTCGACTGGCCAAGAGATGTTCGCCTGGCAACGAGAGCGCCTTACAGGGTCCTTGTAAATGAGGCAATACTGACAGGCAGCCTTGCTCGAACGTGGCTCGATGCCCAACTTGTGAGCCATGGTGTGCGCTCTTGCCCAGCTTGTGTGAGAGCTCCTGGGTGGGCCCGCTTTGGCCACTTGACCGGCGCTGGTTCCCGGTCACCACAGTTGACCGTGTTCACACAACTAGACATCGGCCAGAACTGATGACACATGTGTGTACCGTACAAGGCCCACACAACTGCAAGATCCAGCGAGTTCTCCATTGGAACCCCTACAAGCGGGGTGAAGAGAGACGGCTCTCCTTGAGAAGCATCCGTCGGGCATTCTGGCGGGGCAGCCACAGCCACGAGTTGCTTGCGATAGTCCTCCAGCTCCTCAGCGAGGCTTTCTGGGGGATACATATTGCATCCAGCGCTTTTCATTGATCGGTCGTCCAACGGACCCTGCTGAACTGACCTCAATGATCTTAGAGGTGGCACGTTGAGGTCGCTTGGAGGCCATCGCTCTTAGGGAGGCGATTGCTAGTAGGTCTTATCTTCAAACCGGTGGTCAATCAATTACCTCGCTTGTCCTTGCCAATGGAAGTTGTCGCGGGCATGGTACTTGTGATCCGCGCTTTGTACCACATGTCACTCGCTACATGTGTCTATTTCACCAAAAGTAGTGAAGTAGATCTGGGAGAGGGCTCGCAATACAACCCCTGCCATATCAGATGCAACTGTACTTGTGGAAGACTGAGCAAAAACCAGATGAACTGTATTTCCACATTGAAGCCATGAAGCTCTGGTGGTTCCATAGGAAAAACAATAAACACACACACGTAACAAATGATCTGACACAAGAAACAAGGTCTTTAAATGAGGTGAAAAAGAAAACCAATTGAAGAACGGTCTTCAAACAAAGGCAACAAAAAGGGTCTAAAGAAAGAAGGATCACACAGGAAGCAGTTTTGTTTTTTTCATTGAACAGATAGCAGGAAGAAAGGCCTACAGAAACAAAAGAAAAGACGGACAGCAAGAAGGAAGGAAGGTCTAAAGAACAAAAGGCACCATTAATGAATAGAACCTTGAACAAGTATAACGGAAGAGAAAACAAAGGACACAAAAGGACATAAATAGAAAACCATACATTAAAAACACTGCCGATAAGCTCTAATACTGATGCGTTCACATTCCTGTTGTTCACTAAAAATAGAATTCGTAGTTCACCTAAAGTGGCCACTTTTTGGAAAGGAGCAAGGACTCTACTAGGGGCTCCTGGCCTTAGGAACAAGAAGCTAATAGTAGCAAAGGGCATCGCTACTAGGAGCAAGGACGCTACTAGGAACTCCTGGCCATACTACTAGGAGCAAGCACGCTACTAGGAACAAAGGGCATCGCTACTATTTGGTATGATTGCCAAGAACTGCGGCTGACGCAAACAAGCATATAGCATCGGTGCCTTTCTCAGGTACTGGCTGCGACAGCGTGGACTTCCAGTGGGGTCGGAGGCAGATTTGGAATGAGATGGAATCGACAAAAAGGATTTAAACAAGGAACAACACACTTTGTACTTTTGCTATTGGGTTGGAGGCCATTGCTATTAGGTGTTAATGGCCTCTTCACAGAGAACTCATTCCCACAGGGCTGTGTGCATGTCAAGCCCAGCCGCTGACTTTCCACAGAGCATGGATTCGGTCTACGGACTTTGCCGACTCGGCCCAACGGGCCCTTAGTGTTACTGACAAAAAGTCGACCAAGAAGAAGAACTGGAGTATAAAGTTTTTGTTTTTTATTTTTCAATCTTCCTTCCTTTGACACTATTTTTCTTGAACATTTTCTTATGTCTTACCTTAAGACATTTTTTTCATTTCTTTTTTCAAGGGTTGAAGACTGAAATAGAGATGGAATGTCGTATTCCCTCGTTCTACTTCCTGGACCACTTTCACTCGTGCTCAAAAACTAGAAAGTTCTTGTGAGAAGTAGCCAAGGAAGGAAGGGAAAGGCAGAAAAATAGAGTAAGGACAAAAGAAAGGTCGGACAGTTCAAAAAAGAACACAAGACAAGAAGAGATTTCAAAGCATTACAGTTTGAGGTAGTAGTACAGGGTAGTCAAGTTCTTGGCAGTGGTTGTGACTGCCAAATACTGCACAACTTGCAGGGTGGTCTGCCATCCTTCGCGTGGGCTTACAGTGCAGCCTGTCATTAATCAGACTTTGTTTGTTTGGTTCGTTCTCACGATTCGGCTTTGCAAAGTTTTTACACAAACTGCAAACAACTTGTTCCTAGTAGTAAGGCCAGGAGCCCCTAGAAGCGTCCTTGCTCCTAGTAGCAATGCCCTTTGCTCCTAGTAGTAATGCCCTAGTAGTGATTCAAGCAACTGGATTCTCATAGTCATTCTCTTGGTTTTCTTGATTCGAACGAACCACTCTTTTCTTGTCGAACGAAAACGAAGAAACGCGGACCAAGGCCCTGCAGCTGGCCTTGCAACTCCCAGGATCCTCCGTGACCCGATTTGAATCGAGACGAAAGAAAACGAGGACGTAAAGGAACAATTAGACGCTAGTAGGAACAAGTGCCACGCTAGTAGTAACAGGTGCCTTACTAGTAGCACCAAAAAGCTATTAGAATTAAATTAGAATTAAAACAATAGCTTCTTGTTACTACTAGTAAGGCACTTGTTACTAGAAGCGATGCATTTGTTCCTAGTAGCGTCCTTGTTTCTAAAGGAAAAGTCAGAAAAGAAGAGGAAATGAGAAAAGTCCAGCAATGGCTTCCCTAGTAGCGATGGCCTCCAACCTAGCAATGGCCTCCAATCTAGAAAGGAAGAGAAAGGTTCAAAGAAAACAAGAGAAGAG